CCACAGTGACACCGGCGCTCAGCGGCAGGCAGCGCCCCCCCCCATCTGTGTTTCGCCCTGGTTCTTCGCTGACCCGATCATGGCGCTACCACAAGGACGTCTCGGCCCGCTGCCATCACGCCGCCTTCATGCGTTACGGCCTACAGCTGGTCGACGCCAGGCATTGGCTCCCTACGGGCGCCGGCGTATTCGGTGTCCGGGCTACGTGTCAGGTGGAAATCGGGTGCGTTCGTCAGCCATGCTTCCGGTGTTACCCGCTGTCTGGCATGGGAGTGGCCCTGCACCGAGTGGTTCAGCCTTCTGCAGTTCGTGGCCGCTCCCCTAGCAGATCAGTCTGCTACCAGCCTCTGTCAGTACTTTGCATCGTTGTGCCCCCTTGTTGTACGCACTGGATACAGGCTGGAGGTGGCTCTACCTCGTGGGCGCAGACCGTGGTCGCCCCCTTCTCTTGCGCAGGGACGGGCCTCAGCCACACCTCTGCGTCAGTGAGCCATGATGAGTCAGGCCCTTCTCTTTTGCCGCTCCTTCTCTCCCTCGTGGTGCTGCCATGTGCCCGGCTGGCGTCCGCACTTGCCCCCTTCCCCTCCCCCCCGCCTCCTGGCCTCGCCCCCGAGTGTTGATCGGCCGGAGACTGGCGCCGCCAGTGCGTCTTCTCCCCGCCGTTCTGGAGCCGTTCGCCGCGCCTCGTCCCCACCCGTCGGGATGTTCGGCTCGATCATCCGGTCGCGCTGTGCGCGTCATCGCTTGTGGTTTGGCTGGAGCTTGGCGCCGAAAGGGCGACTTCTCCCCGCCGTCCCGCCGCCGGTCGCCGCGCCTTGGCGTCCCCACCCGCTGGGATGTCTGTGCCGGTCTCCTGGCGTCTAATGTGGGTCATTTTGTCCCTTGCATGTGCATGCGCCACTGCGGCCAATTATCTTCGTTCCGCGCCCCGAACGTTGCCCCGCTCCTTGACCTTCGCCTGGGAGCCGCCGACCAAAAAAGTAGCCCCATCATCATCCGTACCCCCTGGCTCAAGCCATCTCGGCTCGAGGAGGCGTCCGACGCTCGGCCGACTCTCGGCCGGACCGGCGCCCCGCTGGCCATGGAGACCCCCGCGAAGCGTCGGCGCCGCCAGGCGCACGCCGCGGCCGCCCGCCGCTGGGCGCCCCCCGGCCTGCTGGAGCCTCCTGGCGCTGCCGGCGCCGCCGGCGCCCCCCCTGGGGGCCCGTTGCCCTTAAATTTAAACGTTGGTGTTGTATCCGTTAAATTAAAGGTTGCAAGTTGAGTGGATGTTACTTGATGTGTTGAAATAAAAGGATATCGGAACGCATCCTCTGCTTTTGAGCGTTGGCCAGCTGAACTCACTCGTTGCTTCAATTGACAGCGATTGCGGTCAGGGTTTCGTAATTCGGCTCTGGCGTAGCCGTTTCCCCCCAATGTGGTTGCCCCCGCCCGTAGCGTTTACTTGAACGACGCGTCCGCGCGCAATCGCCGCACGGTCCATGATGGATCTTACACACCCCCATCAAAATGGGCGGGTTTCCGTCACCTATCATTTGAGTTTTCTGCGACTGACTTTTGTTGACGTGGCAGGCGCGTCGGCGAAATGTGGTGCAGTTGTTTTTTGCCTTTGTGGAAACGAGCCCAACACGCGCTCTTGTTGTACTGGCCGCGGTTCCACGGAATTGCGCGGGGCGGTCGGGGTATTCTTTGTTGTGTCCACACTGCGCCGTTCGACTTTTCAAATTCATGTATGGTTTGTATATACCTACTTGTGTTCCGTGGTAGTCAATGTTGCGTCGCGTGCGCACCTCTCAGTGGGTTGTTTGGAGTCGGCGCGCCCACGCTCGGTGAGTGGGTCGTTCTTTCAAAATGCGGTTAGCGTTGTAGCAACGGCTGTGAGCAGTTCGCCCACATCGGCAATTTCAACGCGCGTCGTGGCCCATAGTGGGTTCCAGCAGCGGCCCCAACGGGTTGGTGGCATTCGGCCCCGCTACCACGTTTGGCAGACGCTTCGCGCATTTCCGTTTTCCTCTAAGCTCGCTGTTGCGGTGAACTGCGTCGAAAACATATGAGGAGGAAAAGGAGGAGGAGGAGGAGGAGGAGGAGGAGGAGGAGGAGGAGGAGGAGGAGGAGGAGGAGGAGGAGGAGGAGGGCGAGGAGGAGGAGGGAGGAGGAGGAGGAGGAGGAGGAAGAGGAGGAGGAGGAGGAGGAGGAGAGGAGGAGGAGGAGGAGGAGGAGGAGGAGGAGGAGGAGGAGGAGGGGAGGAGGAGGAGGAGGAGGAGGAGGAGGAGGAGGAGGAGGAGGAGGAGGAGGAGGGAGGAGGGAGGAGGAGGAGGAGGAGGAGGAGGAGGAGGAGGAGGAGGAGGAGAGGAAGAGGAGGAGAAGGAAAGGAGGAGGAGGAGAAGAGGAGGAGGGACGAGGAGGAGGATGATGGGGAAGAGGAGGAGGAGGAGGAGGAGGAGGAGGAGGAGGGGAGGAGGAAGAGGAGGAGAGGAGGAGGAGGAGGAGAGGGAGGAGG